AACTAGTGAAGCTCAAAGTGAAATATAGGTGCCTTTCAACATTGTAAGATTGGTAACTGAAGGTAGCAAAGAGAAGTGGCTGCTGGTAAGATGTTCATGTATGTACCACAGTAGCAATTATATTTGCTTCTTCAAATTCATTTTGAAGTCCTCTAATTTATATAATATTATATTCTTCTGTTTTATTTTTCATTTTGAAGAGCAATATTAACAGTAAATCAGAACCAACACTTATTGAGTATCAATTATATAAGAAGACTAGTACTAGACTGGGTGCATTTAGCTAGGAAATGCCTACTTGTGATCTCCAAGCACCATTTCTGGCAAATTATGACCTGCTGCTTACATAATTACAGTATCTTTAGGTGGTCCAAGCATTCTGAATTTTACAACCTATTTATAATGTTTCTACTGTGGCTTATGCTTGGTTGAATGAAATATTTTCAGCTTGTTTCTTCTCAAGTGCTACTTACACACCTGTCATTCATGGACCTTTCCCATTGATTTTGATTCATTCAAAGTACCTGTGTTCCTTGGTTACTAGTCCATGTAGTGGTCTGGTTTATTTGTACATAAACATTTATGCAAGACGAAAAAGTTGAAGTAATTTAAATTTTGTCCATTATTTTCTTTCCATTGTGAATTGTGTGTCAGTATACTACTTCAATGCATGGTTATTTATTGGTTTACCCTCTGCTTTTTATGGCTTCCAGGCATGTTTAATATCTGTGATTAACTGAATTTTTCAGGTTAACATCTGCATTTAATCACAAGTTATTACCCATTTCCTAGACTGGTCAGTGTAACATTTCAATCACTCCTTCCTTCTTTCTCTACCCCTGTAGTAAAAGATTCAAAGTCAGTTATATTTTCTCTCTTTCACAGTCATGGAGCTGCACTTAAATAATATTTAAGAAAGTTATATTTCTTTTGAAGTGGTCACAGGAAGCATATGCTTAGTGTATATAAACAGAGAAAGAGTCGATGCACTCATGTGGAAGTCTTGCTTGATTTACAGAGCTCTTGTATCTACACAGAAACTTTTTTCCTCAGAGAGAAATGAAAGGCTCTATTGGACCCCCAAATCTTCACAGCTCCTGTGTAACTGCACTGAGATTCAAAGACAAGGTGCCTTTCAATTTCACATTGTGCTCTATTCGGTCTGGCTAAACAAACTTCTGAGAGGTCCCTGTTTTACCTTAACCATTTCTTGTCTTATTTCTGAAGTCTTTCATTTTTAAAAGTCATTTGATCATGGAGAATAAAGCCTTAAGGATTAGCCATATTCTGCTTTTTTTTTTCTATTTCTTTTCAACAGATTATTCAAATGGATTCTTCCATTTATTTTCTAAGTTTTCCATAGGTGTGTCCTAATTCAGTTCATAGTATTACATTCATGGAAGAAAAATAATATTAAAGTAGAACAGCTAAATGTGTGGTAACATCTGTCCACTATATTTTTTGGCAAAATTTGCTCTAATTCAGGTCAAAGCTTGCATTCCTTACAAATCGATACTTTTGTTGAGAGGCTGGAAGAAATGGGACATTAACAGTAGTGCTGGGATTTTCATTAAGAACTACGGTGTGATTGAAATTATAAAGGAAATCTGAAAAATTGCAGTTAATATTCTAATCAAATATATCTTATGACTGAATTATTCTGACACATTTGAGGATCAGCATGACCTGTTGTCCTAGGAAGTTTTGGATATACTTAAAAGACCATATAATGACTGAGCTTAGTGCTCCTTATCTGTGAAGATGCAATCAAAGATCTTTAGTAGATATCTAAAACCATGGATAATACTGAAACCACAAGTCAGGAGTGACAACTTGTTTATAATTTTATCACCAATGTCAAATGCATTGGCTGATGATTAGTAGATACTTGAAGTTCACATCAAAGTGAGTAATGTATGGGGCATGATAGTAAGAATCTTCAAGCTATTTAATTTCCTTTTCTTGGTGCCCAGTTTGAGTAATAATATTTAGTGAATCATTTCTTCATATCAGTCTAATGTTCATCAACTTCACTTCTGATAGAAATGTAACAACAAAAAATGCTCTGTACTATGTGTGCAGTGTCATTACTTTGTTTTTTCACCCCTGCTTTCATCTTTCATGACTAAGGTATCCTTGACCAGTTCAATGAATTGTTCTCTGCCTTTGAGTGTTAAGTGATTGTGGATAGAAAGAATGTCAACAACTGTCTCTTCAATGATTAGAAAATATTAATTGATGCATATTCTTCTGAGCTCTCTTGCTATCTTCTCCCTCTTCATATATCCTCTAGGTCATCCACTCATTCTATACCTTCTCTAGTGGATTTACTTTAAAAGAACTCTGAAAGGAACAAACGAAGGAGAGGCAACTGTAAATACTAGAAATAGTATAGGAGGAGATGTGTAGGGGGAGAGGGAGGAGGGGAATCAGAAGAAGAAAACATTTTTTTTTTTTTGAGAGGTTTTTGCTATCGGGTAGGTGTGCTTACCAGAAAGACAGAGACAGAGAGGCAGAAAGAGAGAAATCACCTCCCAGGGGGTATGGCCATGCCACAATCCCATCTCCTCCATTCTCCCCTTGGGATCTTGGGCATGCACTTGGGCCCAGTGTGAGTTTAAGTCACCAGGTCTGGGACTTGAACCGTGGTCGACTATGTGGGAGTCCAGCGACACAGTCATTACAACATCTGCTGGTCTCATGAAGAAAACTCTTAACAGACACAAAAAATGAAAACATATCTGTTGATGATAATGTGTATGGCAATGTCTTGGATTAGACTAATATGTAATATATTAATGCTGGGAATGGGAAAAATCATTATGTAAGCCATAAGGATGTACAGTAACTAAATGAAACAAACAAAAGAAAACAAAAAAAAAGAACTTTTGTTAGCAGTAGTTGTAAAATAATTATATAAATACAGATACAAAAATAAAAGTGTATCTGTTGATGGTAATGTATATGGTAACATCTTTGACTTGACCAGTGTGTACCATATTTATGCTGGGAAAAACAGTTACAAAGATGTACAATGATTAAATGTACACTTTTTAAAAAAGGCAATAAATATCAACTATTTTTTTTTTTTTTGAGAGGTTTTTGCTATCGGGTAGGTGTGCTTACCAGAAAGACAGAGACAGAGAGGCAGAAAGTGAGAAATCACCTCCCAGGGGGTATGGCCATGCCACAATCCCATCTCCTCCATTCTCCCCTTGGGATCTTGGGCATGCACTTGGGCCCAGTGTGAGTTTAAGTCACCAGGTCTGGGACTTGAACCGTGGTCGACTATGTGGGAGTCCAGCGACACAGTCATTACAACATCTGCTGGTCTCATGAAGAAAACTCTTAACAGACACAAAAAATGAAAACATATCTGTTGATGATAATGTGTATGGCAATGTCTTGGATTAGACTAATATGTAATATATTAATGCTGGGAATGGGAAAAATCATTATGTAAGCCATAAGGATGTACAGTAACTAAATGAAACAAACAAAAGAAAACAAAAAAAAAGAACTTTTGTTAGCAGTAGTTGTAAAATAATTATATAAATACAGATACAAAAATAAAAGTGTATCTGTTGATGGTAATGTATATGGTAACATCTTTGACTTGACCAGTGTGTACCATATTTATGCTGGGAAAAACAGTTACAAAGATGTACAATGATTAAATGTACACTTTTTAAAAAAGGCAATAAATATCAACTACTTAAAGAATGATGCAAAATGCAGCTTAAATTTTAAGAAGTATAGGCTCATCCCTCTAACCTTAAAAAATGATTATATATTGCCATCTAATTATTTAAAAAAGAACTCCAAGAAGTAAGTGTTACCAACTCCATATAAAGGGATTAAATAATTTCTGGGAGGACACCCAGGTAATAAGTTCAAGAGTGACAAATGAATCACTGTCTAATCCTAAACCCTTAGCTGTTTTGATAGACCTTCATGTTGACTTTTCTTCTAGTCTTTATATTACTCAATCTAACACTGTTTCAAAGAATTTTTTGCCAAGATAAATTTGTCCTGTAACTGTACTGTTTTTTGTTTTTTTTTTTTAATATTATGAGGCCACCTGACACAAGTGGGTGTTAAGCACTTGATATGTGGCTAATGCAACTGAGAAATTACATTTTAAATTTAATTTTTCTTTTTTGGAGAGGTTTTTGCTATAGGGCGCATGCACTCGCCAGACAGACAGAGAGAGATATAGAGACAAAAAGTGAGAAATCATCCCCCAGGGGGGATGGTCACGCCGCAATCCCTTCTCCTCCATTCTCCTCTCGGGATCTTGGGCACACACGCACATGCGCCCGGAGTGAGTTTTAAGCCACCGGGTCTGGGACGCGAACTGCAGTCGACTACGTGGGAGGCCAGTGACATAGCCATTACGCTAACTGCTGGTTCCCTTAAATTTAATTTTAATAGGCACGTGTAACTAGTGGCTACCTTATTGGATAACACACCTTCAATATCTCAGTGTCATCAGAGCTTGTCAATAACTCCCTCATTCTGACACTGCTTTTCCTTGGTCTCAGTGATCATGACCTCATGATTGTTTTCTGTTCTCTCCTTCCCTTCTGGGAGGTTCTCTTCTTCCTCCTACTTCCTACATGTAAGATGCTTCTTTTTTTTGCTATAGGATGCATTTGCTTTCTGGAGAGCCAGAGAGAGCCAGAGAGACAGAAAGTGAGAAATCACTCCCCAGGGAGGATGGCCACGCCATAATCCCTTCTCCTCCATTCTCCTCTCAGGATTTTGGGCATGCATGCATACATGCCTGGCATGAATTTTAAGATACTGGGTCTGGGACTCAAACCATGGTTTACATAACCATTATGTCATCTACTGTTCCCTAAGATGTTTCTAAGTTCCTTTCTCAGTTTTCTTCTTCTCTTACATTTTATTCTTGACATTATGCTCATTTTAAAAAATGTTTTCTTTGGATGAATGATCAAAAGCCACAGTTAAAATCTTTCTTTGATTTTTTTCAGACACCTTTCTCATTGCTTGTTGAACATCCCACCTTTGATGTACCACTGTCACCAAGTATACGGACACAAATAGGAGTAAGTTTTTTCCTCAAAGTTATTCTTCATATATTCCCTATTTATATGAATGGAACTTCATCTGTTCATTTTCTTAGATGTAAATCTTCTAATTCTTTTTGGATGATCTTGTTTTCTAATTGGCTGTACAAAATGATTTACCAAGTTTCACTATGCTGTCTTCCAAACTTATCTCAAATTTATTCCTACCTCCTTGCTTTTCCAGCTTTAATTCCATTTCCAAGATTTGAATATCAAGTCCTTTAGAATGATTTTCTGAAATATAATTCTGTAAATGCCTCTCTGTACCCAGTCTTCACTGATTTAACTTACACCAACTACTGCTATCAATTGATCATTTTTATGCCCAGTTCAGAACATTCATTTCATGGTTGTGAAATGTTGAAAACTCATGACTCATTTCAATTAAAGCCCAATCAGTCACTTTTCAGTCTAGATCTGGGCTTCATGACTCCTATTCTCATCTGATTCCTCTTTCCTCCTAGCCATTACCTAGGTTTTTTTTTTTTTTTTTTTTTTTTTTTCAGTTGGAATAAAGTCTTGCTTTCTATAATTACCCAGAGCAATATCACTTTATATTTTGATATATATTCTCTCTCTCTCTCTTTTTTTTTGGAGAGATTTTTGCTATACGGCACGTGTACTCGCCAGAAAGACAGAGAAAGACAGAGAGACAGAAAACAAGAAATCATCCCCCAGAGGGGATGGCCATGCCACAATCCCTTCTCCTCCATTCTCCTCTCGGGATCTTGGGCACACACATGTGCACCCGGCATGAGTTTAAGCCACCAGGTCCGGGACTCAAAGCACGGTTGACTACATGGGAGTCCAGTGACATAGCCATTATGCTAACTGCTTGTCCCTTTTTAAAAATTTGCCAGAGGGCACATGCACTTGCTGAGTAGAGAGATAGATGTACACATAGACAGAGAGATAATGAGGAAATACCCACCCATGGTGTCTATGCTTCTCCTTCATTTCTTCCTTTTGGGATTTTGGGCATGCACACACATACACACCCAAAGTGTTTTTCGCTGCACTCAAATTGTGCATTTGGCTATGTGAGAACCAGCTGCCTTAACTACCATGCCAACAGCTGGCCCTGTATATTCTCATATACACATCCACATTGTGACTTCCATTAGCTTCTTAGGCTAGAGCACTCATTTTCTTTTTTTATTTTTTTGTATTTGTATTTCACACACTAACTAGAATAATGATTTACAAGTTGTAGAACTTATATGATTTAATTCAGTTCTTAACTATAATTTATCTATTTAAGTTTATTTATTTTATTCACAGTAGTGTGCATGAAGGAAAGAGGAAGAGAAAGGGAAGCACCCTCATCAGGGACTGGCCATATTGCTATCTCTTTCATTCCGTCCTCCAGAGCACAAGCACCTGGCATACTTCAGGTTGGCTGGACTGGAGGTTCAAATCCATGGTGAGCCGTATGGCTTCCAGCACTGCAGTTCAGTATGTCACCACCTACACCACTGATACTGGGTCTTAACTACTTTTTAATTTGTAGTTTTTTTAGGACCAGTCTGTAGCATAGTGGTTAAGGAAGTAGGTCCCATGTGGCCTACCACAGTTCAAATCTTAGACCTAGTGATTGGAAAATCTTGATGGGATGGAGGAATGGAGAAAAAAGGATTGTGGCATGAGGGAGGGTATTTTTTTTTTCTCTCTCTCTGGTAGGTGCACATGTCCTACATGAGAAAAAAATTTTTTAAAAATTCAGTGTTTCTTGTATATTAATTATCTCTAAGTCATTGGAAATATGAGGGGGAAAAAAGGACAATTTCTCTAAGAATGTCAAAGTCCAACAGAAAAAAAAAACATTGTAAAATTATTTAAAAATAAAATGCTTCTATATAGTATTAGAATTGTGCTTTCTGTTTTTTACCTTTTTTATTTTCTATCTTAGAATTCCACATTCTAGGTACAATCTGGCATAAAGGATAAGGCAATAAATCTGAGTAGGAGACAGGAAAATTTAGTAGAGCAGGACATCTTGAAAGATTTAGATCCCAAAATACTTGAAAGAAGAGATTGTCCAGAAGTCTAAAGACAATAAAGTATCTAAAAAGAATGGAGACTATGAGCAGGTTCCTAGAGATATGACATGACGTGACCTTATTGGTAAACTCCATGTATTTCTAAGAGTCTGAGACATGAGGTCATTAATAAATAAAGAAGGTAGGGATTTAGAAAGGGAAAAAGTTAAAGGTGAAGTATTTGCGTTAAGCATACCTAGAAGATCCTGTAGAAGAGTCATTAAAAGTTTTTAGTAGGATCCTGCAGGTGGCGTGATGGTTAAGGGTGCTGGATTCCCACAATACTGATGATGGTTTGAGTCCTAGATTGGTGACTTTCTTTCTCCATTTCTCTTTCTCTCATCTCTCTCTGGCCAAAATAAAAAATAAGAAGAACAAATGGAATTAAATAAATAAATAATTTTTTTTAAAAAAAGCTTTAAGTAGGGAGGGTAACATCTTTAGATTTTTTTTTTTTTTTTTTGGAGAGGTTTTTGCTATAGGGCATGTGTGCTCCCCAGAAAGAAAGAGAGACAGAGAGACAGAAAGCAAGAACTCACCCCCTGGGGGATGGCCAATGCCGCAATCCCTTCTCCTCCATTCTCCTCTTGGGATCTTGGGCACACACACGCGCACGACCTGCATGAGTTTAAGTCACCGGGTCCGGAACTCGAACCATGGTCGGGTACATGGGAGTACAGCGACATAGCCATTATGTTAACTGCTGGTCCCTAGATTTTTTTTCTAGAAACTTCTCTTTGGTGGAAGAATAGAAGTTTTTTTGTTTGTTTGTTGTTTTTATTTTTTTTTTAGAGATTTATGCTGTTGAATGAGTATACTTGCAAGAGACACAGAAAGCAAGAAATCATCTTCCTGGAGGATGGCCACGCTGCAATTTTTTCTCCTCTATTTTCCTCTTGAGATCTTGGGCATGAACACACATGTATCCAGTGTGAGTTTTAAGCCTCTGTGTCCAGGGAAGGGAACTGCGGTTGACTACTTTGGAGTCCAGTGACATAATTGTTACACCATCTGCTGGTCTCAGTAATTTTATAAATTCTTGCAATACACTAGGCCGGACAGATGAAGTCTTAAATTATGACAATGGTAGAGAGGATGAGAAAGAACCCAGATGAATGATTGGTGAGTAGATGCTAATGGAGTTAATGAAGACAAGTATTCAGAAGAAAAATGCTTTGGCAGGGAAGAGAATGAGCTCATTCATTTCTTAAAGTTTTGGGTTGAATATGTGAGGCCTGTGGATCATCCAGGCTGAGGTGTCCAAAGGCAGCTGAACACAGAAATATGGATGTCAGGAGAGGAGTCTGAAGTGGAGATACAATTTGGAGTTTATAAGCTTTTAGATTAAAATACAAACATGGTTTTGGAAAAGGAAACAAAGAAAAAAAAGGCTCAAATTCTTTTCAGTGATTTGCCATTTTTTTCCTGTGTTGAAAAGCAAAAGGCTTATGGTTACAGGAAATTAATTTCATCTCTTCTGCTCTTGGCTATATAGAAAAGGAAGGAAGAATTATGAAGGAAGACAGTTATTATAATATTTATTAAAGCAACCATGATATTTGCTATTCTTTATTTTTAAAATTTTACTTATCTATTTATTTATTTATTTATTTTTATTTTACTCTGACCAGAGAGAGATAGAGTGAGAGAGAGAGAGAGCGAAAGCGAGAAAGCAAGCCCCTGGGTCCGGGACTTGAACTGTGGTTGGCCATCTGAGAGTCCAGTGCTCTTAACCTTCTGCCAGTCCCATGCTATTCTTTTCTAATTACTAGTTGAAAACGAAAGCTAATTTGTGTTAGTGCACATCTGAAGAATAATGTATTGAAATATGTAGTGATAGGTATCAGCTGTTGGCGTAATGGCTATGTTACTGGACTCACATGTAGTTTATCATGGTTCAAGTCCCAGACCTGGTGGCTTAAACTCACACTCAGTGCATGTGTGTGCATGCTCAAGATCCCCAGAGGAGAATGGAGGAGAAGGATTGTGGTGTGGCCATTTCCCTGGGGGGTGACTTTGCTTTCTGTCTCCCTGTCTCTCTCTGTCTTTCTGGTGAGCACATGTGCTCTATAGCAAAAACCTCTCAAAAAAAAAAAAAAAAGAAATATGTAATGATAGTTTGGGGACATTTGTAATGAAAATATCATAAGGTCTTCTGGCTCCTTACTCTCATCTGCAATTCTGTAAAATAGAGTCCCAAACTTTTCTTTCTTTTTTTTTTTTTTTTGGGGGTTTTTTTTTTTTTTTCCTAAGGGGCGCGGG